TTTGCACCATCGAAGTGCAAAGCATTCCTTCAAGATTGGCAGGGATCGCCTCCTGCGTTGACCCTTGGTAGGGATCAGATAGAAGTCGTTCAGAAATTCAATTACCTGGGAAGTTGTATCAGCGCCCTTGGGATCGAAGACGAGATCACGAACCGTATAGCGAAAGCTCGAAGTGCTTTTGCTAATCTTCGTCACCTATGGCGGCGGCGCGACATCACTCTCGCCCTGAAGGGTAGAGTGTACAATGCAGCGGTACGTTCGACCTTACTGTACGGTTGCGAAACCTGGACCCTAAGGTCGGTGGACGTGAAGAGGCTAGTTACGTTCGACCATCGATGCCTTCGCAGTTTGGCCCACATCTGGTGGGAACACCGCGTGAGCAACGAGCGTGTTCGACGCCTTGTTTACGGCCCAGGAAAAGGATCTGAACCGCTCAGCACCGTTATTTCACGCACCATGCTCCGATGGCTCGGCCACGTTTTAAGCATGCCAGCCTAACGAATCCCTCGACGTGTGTTGTTTGCTCACCGGGGATGTGGGTGGAAGAAGAGGAGAGGTGGCCAAGCGATGACTTGGTCCAGGGGAATGAAGTCCCTCACTTCGGAGCTAGCCGCGGTTGGAGCGTCACAGCTCCCTGGTTGGGGTCCAAAAGATGGTGAACACGTTTGGCTGGATACACTTGCTGACATGGCAAGGAGCCGACCTCAGTGGCGTTTGTGCCGTGAGTTTCTTTGTCCCTCCACATCCCTTTTAGCCTCCCCTTCTATCTACGATGTCATTTCATAGGGTAAAACATAATAATATTTTTTCTCCTTTCTGCCAAGTAGCTGGCTGGAAGCTTACCGGAACGATGCTTATCCGCTGCTGGTAGCTCAGCTGGCATGCAACTGTTGTATCTATTTTTCCTTTGTGTATTGTATTATATGTATGTATGTATGTATTTCCTTCATGTATTGCGGTACACTAGCGGAGGTGTTTTCCCACCTCAAGCTGATGTGTATAATGATGATGATGATGCTTTTCTCCGGGGGTTGTGTCACTTACAGTCACTCACCAATCACTTTCTGCTCTGATCGCTAGCTCGAGTTTGTTACCTTAGCCGACCGTCCGAATGCTACTGTGGAATTAGGTCACCAGATGAATCGAGTGTCCGTTGCACCTAAAGGCATCCTCATGGTCTACACGGCTGCATGTTGTGCGGACACAAAAATCACCTTGAGGGGGACAGTGAGACGCTTGGAAAATACATCCAGATACATGTTTCCACTAACCCTTGGGAGTGATTGTACTGCTTGGCTAAGGAACTGTTGAAAGTTATACACCAGCGACAATGTGCACTCGGCTAAATTACTCCTATACAGCCATGCCTAGAACCACTATCGTAACCGGTGCACATCTGGTAGAGTCCTGTGCAACATGCATAGCACATCAAGGTTACATGTTACTTCTATCACTTTCATCAGCGACTGGTCCATACACACACCTTCATCTCCGCACGCTGATTGAAGAGATTATCACATTTTCTCTTTCACCAACTCCTGCTTCCCGAACTCATCTATGTGGGGACGCAGAAACCCACTTCCCTTGTCCTATTCTACTGAGCCATATCTGTTGCCCGTAAGGTTGGCCATACTCCCCACTGTTGTGCACACATATCATCCTGAACAGGATACTAACATCTCACTGCACTGTAGCCGCGATGCTCATACACGCCGGTTAGGATGCTGCAGGAACACCCAAACTGCAGGGACTCGAACTGAATGCAGGCCGGACACCGGAACCACCACACCAGTAGCTGCAAGCTGCTCTTCGGTGGTGACATTCGAACGGTGCTCTACCATCCACCTGCTTCTTGGGATCTACGACTCGAGGTTTAAAATCTGCATCTATCCCAACCGAGTCGGAGCATCAATGTCCGGCTGCTCACAGTCACAGGCATTGAATGCATAGCACTGTTTCGATGAACCTTGATGCTTGATTTGATAGACCGCGCGCCATATTAAATCCCTACACCATAGCATAGCTGTGTTGATTTGACGAAAAAGTCTCGGTTTTGTAAAAACATGTGTAAAGCTTTCATGAAATCGATTTGTATTCGAATTCGTCCTATGAATTCGCAATCAAATCCTATCAAATTTTGAGACGTTGAACTCCCTGTTCTATTGTCAAATTACTCATTTGTGATATGGAGCGTAATTTGGCAGGTGTGCTTCCATTACCATTCATAACGTTGCAAATCTACGTGTTTGAGTACGTCCGCGTCCTCGTGTACGTCCTGTTGCTCCATGGATCGTTCTTCTGCTGTACCGCGGTTATCTGTTTCGGTCACTCCCCCACTTCAACATGCCACCAGTTCTTTTGCTACCAATCAATTTTATCCGTTACCAGCTGATTCCCGTTCCCATGATTCTACTCCCGAGGGTTTTGTTGACGACCACAGAGCTGGCCCAGTGGCCCTCCTTCGTCTTCGGTTCATCTGGCATGCTTTAATGTACGTACGCTCATGCAGCTCGGGAGGCAGGTTGGTCTTACGCGCACCATGGAATCCCTCGACATCGATCTTTACTGTCCTTCCGAAGCCCGATTGCTAAATACCAGTATTGTGATTGGGTTGAGATCTCCCACCGACCACGGCTCGATATTTCACTTACATCTATCTGGTGACACGGAAGCAGCCGCGGCAGGCTTGGCTAACGTTGGTGTAATACTAAGTAGCAAAGTCGAGGCAGCGCTGCTGGACTGGCTCCTGATTAATAGCCGACGGTGTACAGTTCGGCTTCTGTGTCAATACAAGATGACCAGACCTTGTGAGGGGAGACGCAACTTGTCTGTGATCTGAGTGTACGCTCCAAATGACTGCAGTGGTGAGTCGGTCAAGGACAGATTTTTATCGTGAACTTCACAAGCTCTTGAGCAGAGCTTGCGAACCCGATATTCTTGTGCTTGCTCGGGAGCTAAAAACACGGGTCAGTCGTCTATTACCATGCAAAATTTCCCTCAGTGGTCACCATACGCCAGATGGGGACCGCTCACATAATGGATAGAGGATTCTCAAACTGCGTAACGACTATCGTCCCTTTCTGTTGAGCACCAGCTCCAGGTATTCGAAGACGTTCCGCTACCTGGCGCCCCATTCTGCGACTCAATCATGGTCTCAGATTGATTATATAGCAATCAGTTTCAGATGGCGAATTAGTGTGAAGGATCGCAGATGCATCTGCTCCACATTTCTTGACTCAGACAATGCACTTGTTCGTACGAACATCTGCATGAGTTTCGGAGGGCTCCTGAAAACGAAGCACTGCAAGGTAGACAAAAATAAACCACCTACTCTCTCGGTTCAGCAAAGCAATGAATGTTCCCTGTCCGATGCACTGATGCGACGTACTGCAACGCATTGAGGTTCATACATCAGACCATGATCTGTTCCGGACAGTTAGTTTGTGGTTTTACTCAAGACCCTATGAAGGTCTGGATCTTCACGCGCTCCTTGAATCCATTAGACCGCCCCGGAAATATCCTAGTAGAGTCTAATCAAAATGAAGTACGCCGTTTTATCAGTCGGTAGCTCAAACAAAGCCTAGACAGTGATCGCGAAGCTTGGTGGTCTCATAGTGCTTCAGAAATGGAGGGCGCTGTTCTCTGACAATACATGCAAGCTCTTCCAGCTCATTCGATCCACTGGCAACAGGAAGCCTGGTGTCAGTGAGATTAGGTGCGATGCGGATGGTTCGGCAAATGCTAAAACACGAAGAGGCTTGGATCGATGGATCGAGCATTTTCACTCTCAGTTCAATTGGCCCTCATCGTCCACTTGTATGCTCTGCGAACCCAGCTGCCCGCCCTGGGCCGTCAAACTCGACCCAAGTCAAGTCAAAATAAGCTTTATCCACCCGCATGGGTGTATTTTCAACATTTTTACACAAACACTGCGGATTATTATACAACAAATCACCACTGAGAAATAATAATTAAAAACAGTGAACGAAAAGTGACATCTTATTCAAGTATGCGGTCGCGAAAGCGGAGTTTCACTCCTATTGGGTCGAATAGTAAGTGTGATAAAAAGGCGGTATGGAGGTAAACATATGGTGAGTTACCGTTTCGGCATTTTGCAAGTACAACATTATTACAAGAAACGGTCTCCGGACATCCAAGTGAAGCCAGATGGAAACTTTTGCACCTCAAGTGCAGAGGAAAATATACCAATACACACCGGTTCTGGATGTTAACAGTGCGACAAGCTCAGAAGCTTTCACTATTTGCTAGACATTACTAAAGGAGATTTTTTGCGTAGTAACGCAACTTTCTAACGACAAATAATCGTGAGTGAGACTGAAAACGAGTTGGCTCACTACAGCTTGTTCCTGAGGTCAATTAATAGCTACGAGTCCGACGAAGACTGCTTTCGCTACCAAGGAACAGATGAATTGAAAGTGAATGATCAGTGTGATTGCTAAATCCTTGTTATCGGTGGCACTATGTCCATAATCGGAATTATATCCACATACATTAATCCAACCGATCCACTCTGCTGACGAGGGGCCGAAATCACAAGGCGTCTGCTGTGCAACCCTGTCGTGGGTTCGAGCCTGCGTAGGGGGTCGGGCAATCATCGCAGTATCCTTAGTGCATGCGCGACTGATGGCGGCTGCGTAACAGCGAAGCGCCGGTACTGCGTACCGATGTACTGCTGATGCCCTTTTTACCGGTCCACTCTGAAGTTCTTAGCTAATATTGTAAATGGTTCAATGAAGAAACGTGTCGACTAGTGTAAAGAGCGAAAGTCGGGCAGCTGCTAAGAATTAGTATATTTCTAGCATAGCCAGTTATCTAGATTGGTACCTGAATTCCCATGTAGAACATAGATTTATATACGAGAAACCGCAGAATGTGTCATAGGTTACCAACTAAAAAACAGCACGCAACGGAAGGGAACAACTGAACACGCAAAAGAAACACCACAAATTAGTCAGATGAAACACAGAACACATCGGTACCTTCAGAATGGGTTGTGATGGTAGTATCGCCAGATGACTTCCCTACCGGATCACGTATCGCATGGATCGCAATGGAGGAGTAAGATGGACCACTGGGACTTGTTAAGCGTAAAGACACAGACAATGAATTGGATTCAGAGTCCAAAGGTTGATCCGTAAGGGAAATGTCTTCGTTGGGACCACAGCTACTGTCTGGTAGTCCTCGAAGGTAACCAGTGGACTGTGCAAAAACTAATGGACTGAAAGTGATAAGGGAAAATAGTTGTGAACATTAAATATGCCGAGAACGATTGTGTAAAGCATAAAAATAAAAAGCTACACAAGTACCTATTGTCAGATGCGGTTTCGAGCACTGTTACTGATAAGCTGGTTGAAGTATTTGCAGAAGAAAGAGTTGAGGACTTTGTGCGCAACACTTGCATGGGGCGAACTGGCGATTTTCTGCGGCTCCCGCCGGCAACCGAAGTTGTCCCAGTAGGCGCCACATTAGGGTTAGGCATACCGGACAGAATGACGCCATCGGAAGTACTTAAGGTAGTCGATCCAGCAAAAATCGATAGCTTTGGAGCCAAAAGATCCTCTTCTTCAATATCTTCACTCGATACGTGACTCTGTTTTTCAGGAACCCTTTGAGCAGCAAGAGAATGTAGATAGCCGCTTCTAGTTGTGTCTGGATCGTTCAACGGTCTATACCGCACGAACCGATCGGCACTGGAATCTGAACAAAAGTGAATTATATCATCTTCTCCAGAAGAAGCAGGTCCAGGAGACAATAAAGACGATCCGTAGGTATTCATTCCTTCAAGTAGAACGAGGAGTTGATAAGTGTAAAGGCGAATAAACCATAGTTCAGAGTTAGAGAATGAAGTCAGTGGAACAGGCTACACATTTACGCCAAGTGCGAGACCGCTTAGACCGAAGGTTGTATGAAAAGGGTGTAAAATAAGGAATGTTTTCGAAACCGACAAGGTTAGCGTTTCTAATCACTCTGGCTACTAGGTGGACGAGAAGTATTCGAATGGAATGGGGAGTGTGTGAACTGCAAAGACCCGGATAGCATGAAAACATGAATTCGATTACTTTTTCGCGGTGGATCTGAACCAAAAGGGCGCTGACTCCGGGTAACACGCTGCTTCACATTGATTGTCCGTTGCGGAGTTTCGTGAGGACTGGTCGAGCTCCGAGTATCGATCGGATGGCGGAGTTCGTTCATCAACACATCTGAGTAAGTATCTGGTCCGGAATACTAAGTACGAGCAAAAAAATGAAATGAAGAAGACAGGAAGTTCTGGTGAAACAGAGGGACTGTAAGCCCAAAGCAAGTGGTGCAAAACACACGACTGAGTTACCGAATATATGGACGGGAGTTGCATCTATCGGAAAGTAGGCAAGATAACAAATGATCATTCGAAACTATCACGAAGGTAAAGACAGAACAGTGCTTTGCTGCGACATAGTGCGCAGAAATAACTATTTTCATGACAAGTATACGAGGATTTTATGGCGTCAGATATCAAATATATTCTGGCGTTACTCTTGAAGCATAAAAACAAAAAGCGTAAGCAACAGCTAACGCATCGCAATTAGCTCCTGATGTTGTCAAATAACAAAGGTGTAGGCTACAAGATGGCCATCCCAAAGCAGGGAAAATAAATGGAAATAAAATGGAAAATAAATCGAGGCCACGCAGGAACTAATGTCATGTATGAGAGCAAAAATCGACGGTAAGTGTATCCTACTTGATCAGACGATATGATCGTCTCAGTGGTTCGAACATGTGGCACTGGTACTTGGATATATATACTTTTACTGAGACACCTGAGGTGGCTCGGTCATATGTGGCGTATGGATTCAACGCAGATACCGAAACAACTCTTATATGGTCAGCTGAGTATTGGGAAGCGGAAGGTGGGGAAACCAAAGTTACTTTACCAGGACATGATCAAAGTGAGCCCCTCACGTTCTAAGCTTGTTTGTAGGTCATGGGAATCGAAGGCGGTTGATCGGCATGCATGGCGCGATCTAATCACGAAGGTAGTTGCCGAAGTGCGAGAGAAAGAGCTCATACATGCAGAGAAGAAGCGGTAAGCACCGATGGATTGTACTCCATCGACATCAAGCGCATAGTGCTGTAGCACATGCGGTCGACAGTGCCTGAGTCAGGCAGGCATAGTGAGCCATGAGCGAGGCCACTCGGGACCACCACCGAAGCGAAGACGCGTCCTGCAGAGAACGTAGGCAGAACTGTCGTAGCGTTTGTAGGTACGTTGCATTCAATTTACTAACCGCGTGCTTGCATGCTAAGTCTCTTTATTTCAGGTGGTGGGTTTTCAATTTTGTCCTATTACTTTTCTTTCTCTCATAAATGCCTACCTATACTCTTTTCTATAAACTTGCACACGTCGCTTAAGCCAATTGTAGTTAATTTCGATAAGATTTTCGTGTTTGTGACATTTCCGTAAAATGCACTTTCTTACCTCGTGAACTTATCTCGGATTAGTTTGTAAACAACTTATTTCATATGCTCATTAATTTAAGCTTTTTGTCACGTTTCCTTATGCATTATTCGAGTTATTTTCTTTGTTATCTTGCTCTCAAGTGATTGGCTGTTGCATGCTATCCCCGGTGTGGCTGCGCTTGATGTGCATGTTGACAAGGTGCCTACCTGTCTATTACCCACTACGTCGTCCATACTGGCTCCAGGAGACAGTTGGTCGTTGTTGGAGGGGACGGGGTGCACCGTCCTTGTGGCCGTGCTAGGCTCGAAGAGTGGTTCCATGCACTCAGTGTGGAGCGGACTACGGTCCAGCCACCGCATTGTGTACACTTGATTCCCCAAATACAGCGTGCTTGTGTTTGCCTGTGAAGGAGTGTGGGCCGGCTCCGTTGATGAAACCTGGCTCGCATCCACATGCCACCCGGTCTTATTCCTTCGGGTTTACACTGGATATGGTGTGTGTGGATGGAGCTGCGCGTGGTGCAGCGCAAGCCACCCATGGTCCCTCTGTAGGCGCAGGCGTCCTGTGGCTGGTCACAGTGACAGGCAAATCCGAAACCGGAAGCCGCCAACCATATATATATATATATATGCAGCAGTCTACGAATAGAAATAAAGCCATCAAAAACCATGGAACATAAAAGATACAGTTATCGTAAAAAGAAAACAATACACAACACAACGGAGTCCATGATTGCGTCAGAGGTCAACATACTACCCGGTTGCTCAAGCCGAGCAGATATATGACAAATACGACTCAGTTGTCCAGAGTGAATCAAGCAGAACACAAGACCCGAAGTAGCAACACTGTTTGTTGCCGAAAACCGAGCGACCTCGGCATTGTTCCCCAGGTGGCGTCCCGCCGGGAATGAGGAAAACGTCACCACGGCCTGTAATCAAGAATGATCAATCTCGTAATGCTTTCAACAAGTAATGATTCCATAATTAACACGACGGAACTGCAGTATGTGGTATCTGCATTTGTTGGATGTCGTGATACCTTGATGTTTGTAGAAAGCGAGAATTTTTTGAGAAGCCACACGGGAACGGTTGATATGGGGGGAGGGTAGAATCCATTGAGGGACTGTACTCAGATGTGGTGCGATGATTCGCGAGCCTGTGTGGATCAGTGGGCTACGCAGCGTTGCGCTATTTAAGTGACTCCAGAGCCATCACGCCACAAAGGTCAATGACTAAATGCCAGACAATCTCAGTATCAACGCATATTAAATCTAAAAAATAGAGATCGATGGCCCGTGTCTTATGGATCAAAACTATTTGTACAAGTTATAGGCCGCAACCTCTGCTCGATTGAAGTATGAAACGAATGTCACTGGTTTGCTGCCCCTAGCCCAAATGCCAGGAAGACGCTGGCAGATGTGCAAATCCGTTGAAACTTGCGGCTGACCATCGCAGATGCACCATGTGATGCGGGCGGAGGGAATGCATGACTTATGAGTTTTCCAAGGATCCACGCGACCTACCTAAAGCAGGATTTGATGGGACCCTGTAGTCATACTTCAGAGCTGGATGTGGTCTCGAAGTACCGGAAGCTAAGATCCTGACCAAAATACCTAAAGCGAAAACTCACTTATCCCATCTTTTTGTGCCACTAACTGCTGAGTTAAAGGATATAGAAGAGGAAATTCGAGCCAAAACCATTTCTCAGGAGGAGCAACAAGTATCAGCTGTTCACAGGACTTCGCCTTCGTTTTGCTTCCTTACTGTGGCTTCCTCCCCCTTCAAATATCTTCTTAACCGATTAATCAGTAAGACACTGTCACTGCCTTTGCGACTAATGTGAATAGTGTAATTAAATCGTACTTAGGACCAAAAGTCTCCCCAGATCACTGCTCTCACAATGTCTGTACTCATTGTCAGTTTGGTTAGTATCTAATGGTGCTCTCCGGTCCTTACTCTTTTGGAACCACTCTGCGTTGTATATGAAGGTGACCGTCGACTGCCACGCACAGAATCCGTTGGTAATGATTATGTTCTACTTTTGTTTTCGGCAGGAGTGTGAGGAAAGTAAGTTAAGTCAATATAAGTTATATGAGTCATAATGGGTTCATTTTCAGCACGGTATCTGTACTACAGGTAATGCCCGTGGCCCGTGGTCTTAAGGATCACAGGCTTGCCTTGCAAGTTGAGATCGCGGGTTCGAGCCTGCGTAGGGTACCGGGCGACCTTCGCAGTATCCTTGGCCCACGCGCGACTGGTGGTGGTTGTGCGGCAGCGAAACGCCAGTACTGGCTGTAGATGCTCTTATTTTTCGTTCTCTCTCAATGCCATCAGCAGAAATGCTGAGGGAAACCTACTGGCATAGGGAGGCATCAGAGGTACGTCGGACAACCGTACGGACGATTGACTACCAACGGTCGCGCATGGGTTAAGTTTACCGCAAGGTCGCTCGCGCTCATGCGGATTCGAACCGGTGACCTCTGGACTACAATGCAAGCGCGTAATCCCACTACCTACCGGCCGACTTAATAGTGCGAATAACATACCGAAGCATGGAGCGCTACGCGCTAGTTTGTTAAGTAGTGCCTGCATAGCCACTGCGTCAGATCCAAGGAGAGTTATGTCATCCGCATACGCCTTTTTCAGTCGGTCACCTGATGAAATTTCCAGTCCGGAAGAGTCTGATATAACAGTCATTCATGGTCAATTCAATCAGAAAGTTGAAGGGAAAAGGGTTTATGGACAATTCCGGTGAATCACACTTGTTTTGGGGAACTTAGAAGACAATTTCCCGTAGACCCTTACTTGGCCTCGAGAGTCAGGATAGAGTACAGCATAGAAACGACTTTCCCTAGTACGCGCTTTAAAGGTAGATAGCACGACCTGACGGCACGATCAGCAGAGTCGAAGGCAGCTTTTAGATCAATAAAAACCATCTTAAGCAGTCATATGTTGGTGTCTTTGCTCTAACACTTAGAGAAGAGTCAATATGTGATCGATGCAACCAAGACCAAGGCGAAAACCTGCATGGCTATCGATGATTGAAGTCACATATGGACCAGTAAGTCGAATGATACCTTTGAGAAGGTTAGAAGCATCAGAAATAAGACTAATGCTTCGGTGATTTTCATATAAAGTCCATTGAGCCTTCTTGGAGGTGGGCACAATAGTCGGTCGTCGCTAGTTAGAGAGTACCTCTTCCGTGCCCAAATAGTGTTGAATAGGGCGGTAAATCCAGTCAACAAAAAACCAGCTACAGCATTCAATAGAAAGAGGTAGAAGTCGTCGGGTCTAGGAGCCGTTGCGTTTCAACAATCTCATGTTGAATAGCTTCCAAAGTTGGAGATATGGCGTCGAATCTCCACCTCGGCTTAGGTGACTAAGAAAGCGGCAGTGGCGCAGCCAGCCTATTGAACTGCTCCTCAAAATGTTCCACTTAACGGATTAGTCGACGACGCTGAGTAAGGAATAACTGTCCATCTTTATCATCACTTATCCCACCAACTGAGGGTATGCTTGGACCCGTCTTCCAGAGGAAATGGAAGAGTACTTGGTTGTTCCCAACACCACTGGTTTTTTCCACTTCACAGGTCCTTGCCACCTGCTAACGTTCTTGGTGAATTCTGACTTCGTGGCAGTCGTCATTTCGGGGAGTACTGGACACGTTAAAACTTAGTACCCATTGGGACCTGTCGATCAAACTGATCGACGCTTCATAGATCCATTCAGAGTTAGGACGTTTCAAATGGGGTATACAACAGGCGTTGAAAACATTCTTCATGGCATAC